TCTGTAAAAAATGGCTGTAATTCCTAAACGGTTAATGCAATATTTTTGTTAAACCCCTTGAATTAAAGCTGAAAGTCTACGCTTCAGTCACATCTTGACTGCTTCATTTCAAATCCACTGTGGTGGTGTACAGAGGCAAAATTACCAAAACTGTGTCACTGTCCCAATATTTATGGACCTGACTGTACATATATATATAGTACACGTGAGAAGTTGTGTGTTTGACGCATTGTGTGTTTTGAGTGTGCAAGTCAAACTCCACTGTACACCAGCGCCCCCTGCTGTATAGGCTAATGTAAAAGATAGATACAGTGGATATAAAAAAATTACACACCCCTGTTAAAATTGCAAGTTTTTCTCATGTAAAAAAAATTAAATTAAAAAAATCATATCAGATTTTTTTCCTCCTTTTAATATGATTTAGCAACCAATAACATTCAAGTGAAAAACAAATAGAAACATTTTAGGGGAAAAAATGATCAAAGTAATTATCATACAGCTGCCATCAAAGAAGTGATTCTGATCAACCCCAAATGAAGATCAGCTGTGTAGGATTCTCCTCATGTCTTCTTGGTTTCATCTGACTGCTGAAGCCATCTTCCTCAAAGTGCTTACAAAACACTTAAAGGATCTCACTGTGGAAAGGTATCGACCAGGAGAGGAGTATAAAACATTAGATGTACCATGGAACACTGTGAAGGCCATCATCAACAAGTGGAGAAAATGGAGAACCACAGTGACGTCACCAAGAGCAGGACGTCCCTTCAAAACTGACTAAAGGACAAGAAAACTTATCAGGGAGGCTGTCAAGAGACCTACAGCAACATTAAAGCAGCTGCAGGAACATCTGGCGAGTACTGATTACTCTCTGCATGTGACAACAATCTCTCATATTCTTCACATGTCTGGGCTCTGGAGTAAAATTTCACCTTCCAGCACAATAACAACCCAAAACACTAATCTAAGCCAACAAATTAACGGCTTCAGAAGAAGAAGAAGAAGACCAATGATTTGGAATGGTCCAGTCAGAGCCCAGATATAAATCCTATCAAAAACCTGCAGAATGACTTGAAGAGGGCTGTGACCAGGAGATCCTCTCACTCTCTGATAGCTATTTAAGGGGTGTGTATACTTATACAACCAGCTTATTGTAAGTTTTTACTTTTTCCTTTTCCCCCTAAGACATTTCTATTTGTTTTTCACTTGAATGTTGTCAGTTGCTATGTCACATTAAAGGTGGAAAAAGATCTGACATGATTTATCTTGGTTTAATTTTTTTACTTCACAAAAACCTGCAGTTTTAACAGGGGTGTGTAAAGGTTTCATATCCACTGTAGATGGAATTGTTGTGGAATCTGATGGCAGCTGGCAGAAAAGACCCCCAACAGCGCCTCCTAGAGCAATGCGGTATATACCTGAACACAAAAATATTATTATAGAGTTAAAAATTAAAAACGTTTTTAATGAAATTAAAACAATTGTATATTACTCCTTTGTTTGTCATGTACTGTCTCTTTTTAACTTCTCGCTTGTGAGAACGTGAGATGAAGTGCCCTTCAGGTGCTCTGCGATGTGCTGGCCTTCCATTCAGGTCGTATTCCCATCTTACTCCTAGTGTTTTTCCGGGATAGACTCCGGATTCTCTGTGGCCCTGAGCAGGATAAATCTCTTACTGACAGCGAGTTAAACTGTGTGGGAAATGAACCGTGTTTGTGCAGTTCTAGATTTGTCCACTAGATAGAGTAAGAGACAAGTAAATGATCATCTTCTTCTTGCTGCTGCTCTCATTAGGGGTCGCCACAGAGGATCATCCGTCTCCATTATGGAAATCTGGTTTATGATCTGCATATTCGATTTGGCACAGGTTTTTACACCGGATGCCCTTCCTGATGCAACCCTCCCATTTTATCCGGGCTTGGGACCGGTACTGAGAGTGCACGAGCTTGTGCAACTCCACTGCCATCATTGGGCTCAAACCCACGATCCTGGGATTAAGAGTCTCATGCGCTACCGACTGAGCTAGCTGGGTCTAGAGAAGTAAATGATCATGTGTTTTATTAAAGTTTAATTTTTTATTGAAGGTAAACGAGTTAACCCTGTAAATTATTATCAGTGAAAGGATGTGTGTGTTGTGAGTAAATGTGTGTAGTTAGAGGGATTAAGGGATTAACACACACACACATACACACACACACAAACTTTTCTCATGTCAGTTAAGCTGATTATTTATATATATATATATATATATATAAGTCTTTAATTTCAAGAATTTAATATCAGGCTGTTTAGGTATGTTCTCTAACAAACTCTGGGTTCTTCCAGTTACAGGTGTGTTTATATTGAGATCATGTGACACTTTAATTACACACTGGTCATCTCCCTTCAGTCATGTGACTTCTGATGGAAACTGAACTGATTCAGCAGCAGCAGAAGAAGAAGAAACCCTTTGTGTGTCACATATACATTACAGTACAGTGAAATTCTTTTCTTCATGTATCCCAGCTTGGCTTTATAGTTTCATAGTTTCAGACTGTAACACTACTCAGTGTGTAAAAGTTCAAGGGGGTGAATACTTATGCTGCGCTTGTGGTGCTTTGTAAGCGGTAATTTGCAAGTTGTAAAGGTTTCCCACCTCTGCACGTCCAACATGCGAAATGAAAAAAAAAACATCTCTGCGAAAGCGTGTGTATTGTTTGCTCTATCAGAGCATGTAAAGCTCATAAAAATCTACTTTTACAGTTACAGGCCTGAGTGGCTACTGGTTCTGTTCTACTGCAGTGACCTTCAAACCTTCATGCAACAATTTAGACTGAAGTTGCAGTAGGGAGTAGCATTAGCAAAAAGCTACCTGGCTAACGTTAGTGATAACTCTAATGTTGATGATTAGCTTCTCAGAGCAGTGATTAGTACGGTCAGTGTTATAGATTTAACCGAGTGCTGTACGTGTGTGTGTGTGTTAACTGATCTAAAGCAAATACTGCTATAAACTCATGTAACTGTAGAGAAGGGGAACTTTACACTGTTCACAGAGTGAGCGGCCATGTTGATTTGATGTCACTCTGTAAATGGGGAAGGAACTGGTAGATGAGAAGACCAAGTTGAGGGGATGTTTTCGGTGGTTTTTCCGGGTCTACATGGGGAATTACAAGGTGCAACCTTGCCTCGAACTCAGCGTTACGCATAGCACTGTATACTAATAACACTCAGAGAGAGAGAGAGAGAGAGAGAGAGAGAGAAATCATTAATGTGTTTAGTCTGTTGTTTATATTCTTTAAGTGAGAACCCTGAACAGAACCGGTCCAGCTCAGTGGCTCAGTGGCTCGGGTCCTCCAGGCATTACACCGCTCTCACACTGACGCCTCGCAGCCGTCTGCTCCATCACTCTGTTTATTTAAACTGGAACTGAAACAAGCACATGACAACAACATCCAGCTCCAACATCCAGCTCCAACATCCAGCTCCAACATCCAGCTCTGCCGCTGCAGTGTTTTATGAGGTAGCGGAAAAATTCAGCAGAACGTGGCAAAAAAGTGGCCTTTAAAGAGCCTCAAACAAAACGAGTGTTGTGTGATTGGTGCGAGTCAGACGTTCAGGAAACTCTGCGCTAATGCACACTGCGAGTTCTCCGCTCGAGAACAACAACAATAAAGCGCCTTTGTGTTCCAATGACATCATCTACTGCTCTACAGAACCAGCCTGAAGTTTTTATTTAATCAGAGCTGAACGTAGAATAAATCAGCAGATAAAAAGGAAATAAAGCTCTTGGGATTAAACTAAATGTTAATCCAGAGCTAATAGAGTTCTGTTAAATCTGTAATGAGTTATTATTTATTTCAATGAATTTAGTCTGAATGATTAGATAAGGTTTAGTCATCAAGCTGAAAAATCTCTCAGTCAGGCATGATGTTTGCAGATGATACGAGAACTTTGCATTAAGAGGTTCTATTCAGTGAGTTTAAGATACAGAACTATAAAGTTTCACCCCGTATTAAAGTCTTTGCCCTGATGATGAAACACAAGAACCCAAGGAACATGCAAGATCTAGCAGCAGGTCTAAGTGCTGAATTCTCTTACGTCAGGTTAAAGCTCTGATCACCGAGCAGGAGAGTCAGTCAGAGATCTACAGAAGAACCAGACACCATGCAGAGGAACCAGACACCATGCAGAGGAACCAGACACCACGCAGAGGAACCAGACACCACACAGAGGAACCAGACACCAGAGAGAGGAACCAGACACCACGCAGAACCTCATATTCACATCATTAACGTGGTTTCATGATGGTGTAAAGGGAACTTCTCCTCCTCATTCTTCTCCTCCGTCTCCTTTGTTTTCTTCTCCTCTTCATTTTCCTTCTTTTTTGGATCTTCCTCATTATCTTCATTCTCTTCTTCTTCTTTATCATTTGCCCTTTCTCCTTCTTTGTCTCCTCCTCTTCCTTAACATTCTTTTCCTCTTTCTTTTTCTCCTCCCACTTTCCTCTTCCTCCTTCTCCATTTCTTCCTTATCCTCTTTCTTTAATTCCTCTTCAGTGTTTCAGACCTCACTGAGGAGGAACTGGAGTTTAGAGCTTTAAGAGCTTTAAACACTGGCAGAGTGACGGAGAAGCACACAGATTACAGGTGTTTTGGTTCACTGGTGTTTGTTGTGTAAATAATTATCAACCTTGACACAGTAAAAGTCTCTAACCTTAAATAATGTCACCTGCGGTGTTTCCCTTCAGTCCAGGCATCTACACAGAAGAATAAATGACTATTTTAATACCTAAGAAACAACTGAAAACGGTAAAGAAGCATCTCTACGCTGCTACCAACATTAAAATGCAAACATCTTTGAATATTCATGAATATCAAATTAGAAACACCCCCATGTCCTTCTGTCATCACTCACACCTTCATCTCCTCGAATCTGGATTTACATCCTGATTTTCTCACTGATTTATTCAACAGCAGCCCGAACCTGACGAAAGAGATTCCAGCGTTACCATGACAACCGCCATTTATTCGCCATTAGCTAGCTAGTAGATTAGATGATGTTGAATTTTTTTTACCAAAATGGTGAATATCGTGACAGTGGGCCGTGCTGCACATTACGACACAGCGACGTCTGATGATCAGCTGCAGAATTTGTTTTTACATTTCTACTCCAGAAGAACGTTCAGTGACCCAAAGTGTTTTATTATTTTATTTATTCATTCTGAGAGAAGTGTGTAATAATAGTAACGCCATGATTTGTATGGAGTACAGTAACCCCTCACACACACACACACACACACACACACACACACACACACTGTTTATTGAACTCTGCACTATTTTCCGTCTTCTCTTGTTGTTGACTAGAATATGAGCAGTGAGGCCACAGAGGACAGAGAGTGTAGCCTTAAAACCTGATGCCTGCACTCATTAACTCAACTTTAAAAACATACATCTAACACTGCTACTATCGTTTTAAAAATAATCATTATTTGTCATGTAACGGAGCCGAAGGTGGATGCAAGTGCAAACTGGAGTTTTAATGAAAAAAAAACAAAACAATACAGATAACGTAGCTTAGACACACAAAAACATGAACTAGGATCTCAAGGCAATGAGCACGTGGACTAAAGAACATAACACAAGCAAAGACCAGCAGCGGAAGACTAAAGCTAGACTATAAGTGAGGTGTGAGACGGGACTTAAATACTAGTGCTCATTAACAGAAACGTGACACAGGTGCAGGCGGTCATGTGACATGCTCCAGTGTTGTGCAGTGACTGATGGGAAATGTAGTCAAGTGCTGAAGTCAGCGTAACCATGACACTACTACAGTTTTGAAATTTAAACAGACCCTTAATCTCACACTCATTATTATTATTATTATTATTATTATTATTATTATTATTATTATTAGTGTAGTAATAGTAACAGTGTGATTTTCAGACACTGTGTGTGTGTGTGTGTGAGCTGTGTTATAAATGCAGATTAATGGTGATACTCAGTGTGAACAGACAATCAGGGATAAACACACACAATAATATTTCACTCGGTTTCAGTACATGCATGACCGAGTATCTGCTGTGTTGCGTGTTGCATGTTCTCTGCTCTGTGATGTGTGTTCCGTGTTCTCTGCTCGTTGTTGCGTGTTGTGTGTTGTGTGTTGCGTGTTGTGTGTTCTCTGCTCGTTGTTGCGTGTTGTGTGTTGCGTGTTCCGTGTTCTCTGCTCGTTGTTGTGTGTTGTGTGTTGCGTGTTGTGTGTTCTCTTCTGGTTGTTGCATGTTGTGTGTTGCGTGTTGCGTGTTGCGTGTTCTCTGCTCGTTGTTGTGTGTTGCGTGTTCCGTGTTCTCTGCTCGTTGTTGCGTATTGTGTGTTGCGTGTTGTGTG